GAGAGCCTGCAGGGCTAGGCTGCAGCTGTGGGTCCTGCTGGAGGCACCCTCCCCAAGCCTTCTGCATAAAACAGTCAAAAAGTTTAAACAAATCTGGGCTGGCCCGTTTCTGCAAAACACTGGGTTAGCAAATAAAGTGACTAGCTGAGTTGGCTAAGCTGCCTGAGCACATGGGAAGCTGTGGTGCTGCACTACAAATACCTGCAGGTGGTGAGTCATTTAGTGCCTGCCAAGTCCCAGGTCTGCACTAAACAACCACCTCTCTCTAACGCCTCCTCTGTGCAATCGTATCCCACCTGCCATGGAGACCTACCACCGGGACATGCTGCTCAAGGCCAGCCAAAGTACACCTTCTAGCTCGCAGAGATGAGCTGGTCCTGGCTCCATGCTTTGTCATGGCTTATTTCCTGCCTGCCGAGTGCCAAACTGCTTCAACTCAGCTCCTGGAGAAAGACAGCACCAGGTCTGTGTGTGGCTGCTGCACATGTTGTCGTAGCTTGCCCTTGCACAGACTGCTTTGTAACCCTTTGAAGGTTACAGTCCACATGTCGCCCACACTGTATTGCTGTAGCTCAAGTAGAGGAACAGTTTGTGTGAGTGCTCCTTAACCAACCTCAGGCAAAATTAAAGTCACCTGGGACTCCAGTGTTGCCCCACACATTGACCTTGTTCCTCCTCAGCTGGCTCCTCAGCAAGAGCGGCCTCCAGCTGCTGAGGTCCCACAGGCAGTGTTGGCACGGCAGCACAGGGGAAGGGGGTAACAGTGTCGTGGCTTTCCTATCTATTAGGCTTATGGCAGAGCCCCGGAAAGCCAAACAAACCACTTTTGTGCAAAGGGGGGGACAGAAAGCGCGGAACACCAACGTTTGCAGCTCTTGCTTACGCTCAGGCATGAGGGTGTACGTAGCAATCACAATTGCTTGCCCTCTCCACACTCCTCCAAGAGCAGCATCCCAGGCCATGCTCTCCAACCACCACCTTGTTCCTCCAGGGTCCCTCCTTTCCCCAGCAAGCAAAGACCAGACCCCAGACAGCCCAAACTCGAACTCTCTGAATGTGGTGCAAGTTAACCACAGAAGTTTTGGCTGGAGAGGGAACAACTGTACTCATCTGTACTGCTTTGTTGCCCAAGCCAATAGCGGTGCTAATAAGGGCTGTGACCACTAGCTGTTGTCATCATCTTCAGCCAGCTCAGAAAGATCAGGTCATGAAAGAACAGCTCTCTGCTTAGTGTCCCTTTTTTTTCACTTTTTAGATTTTATTTTCTGTCTCTCAGCTCATCTGGCTTACTGTTCTGACGATGACAGATGGAAAGTAACCCTAATATAGCAACTAATTAAAGCAAGGGTCAGGAATAATCTAGCTGAAAAAAATCACTTTCCTCTTGTATTCTTACTTCTGTCATAACACTGCACACAGCAGTAGGATGGGATGGCAGAACAGGGCACTGTCCTTGAATTCAGCTACTCTAAGAGAAACTTCAGAAGTGCAAAACCTGCCAAACTCTTGTATCCATCTCTATCCTCTTTCTCCAGTTCCTCCAAACTGCACAAAATGAGGATTAGGTAGTCTGAATCCTACAAAGCTCTCAAACACTATAACAACAGCACAAAAACTGGCATAATAAACTTAGACAATTTATGTTTTCAGCAAGTACTCAGCTGCAAGTAAATGGAGTGTCGTACACAGTGCAAGTAAACAGAAATGATTTTAATTACCATATAAAAGTAATTAATTAGACACAGAAATCAACAGGGAGTCCTTCTCAAACACTGGTGGCACATTATTTTAAGCTTCAGAATACTTATCCACTGACCTACATGAGCAAAAATAGTGCTTGGGATAGTTTCTACCTATAATTTAGTGCAATTACCCCCCCCCCCCCCCCCCAAAACACAAAAATAGGGCTAAGAAAGGCAACCAAAGAACACAAAACCATTTCAAACCAAGTAACAAATCCAAAGCTGGGGGTAATTTAGTGTTGCATTAGTAACATGAAAATAGACCAATGATCAAATTCATTGACACTACAAATCAAAAATTTTAATCCTTTTGTTAGAAGACCAGGGACAGTTAAGGCAATGTTAAGCATGGGCTAGGCCATCATTGCTAGTAGCAATAGACCCAGAGACAGACCATCTTCTCCCAGCTGTTTGCCCCAGTTACTCTGTGGCCCTAGCATCCACCTAACACACTTCACATGCTGCTTCTCTGGTCTCTTTTCCTTCTGTTAGGCATGGAAAAGTGGATTTCATCTGAGATTAAGCACCTAAATTTCAGTGCCCCATGGGAGCTCTTTGTGATCCCATTACAGGCAATAGAGAATTAGATCCTGTCATTCACATAAGCATCTAGTGACAATGCCTGAGATGACTTGGGGCGTGCAAGATGCATCTAGGCTAGCAGATATGGCTGAGAAGCTAGGGGAGGTCTGAACCCTTCTACACTAGCAGCTGAAGGCAAGGCAGGACACCTTAATGGCATCTCATTTGGCACTAAATAACAACGCACGGGCAACTTAACTGAGGCAGTCAATACAGTCAGTTGAGCCTACAGAATGAGTCAGATTACCCTAAAAATACATACTGGTTGGTTAGTGGAACTGCTCTGCTTAGCCATACACATCTATAGCTTCACATCTAAATTTAGGCAGCTCAGTCTTCAGCTGAATCCCACACACAGCTCCTGCAGTAAGCAATGGGACTGCAGCCCCTTGTCTCCCATTAACTCACCACGGTTGCTCATGCCTTTGCTGGACTTGAACCAGGTCCTGCCCACATGCTATTTTCAGATATTCAGCAGAAACCTAAAGAGCTGCAGCCACTGACTCCAGCCAGGGGATGTTTATAAGGCTGGATTTTTGCTCTAAATGATTCTCCTATAGGAACTAGCTGCCCAGTCCAGTGTCCACCCATCACCCAGAAGACAATCCTTTCTTTCACATGCATAACATGTCATATATCCCACCTTATGTACTTGCTGGGGATTTAAGCAATTTATTTTGAAAACTGAGGCACACACTTACCTCAGTTCCTGCATTTTATACAAGCTAACAGAAAAACAGTCAGATATCAGCCATCTGAGCCCCCAGAAAACAAAAGGTTCCATTTAGATGCCTGAGCATAGACATCTAGTGCCATCTGAGATGCCCTAAGGCACCCAAGATACACAAGGGGCTGGCAGGTATCACATAGGACCTATGCAAGCAGCAGCTAGAGACTGGAGACCACGTAGGATACCCCAGGGTGTCTCAAGTGGTATTTGACGCCAAAGCATAAGCAACTGAATTAAGTTTTAAAAATCCTGTTTATACTTAAGTCAGATGTACGTCTCCTGTATCTAACAAACATATATCCTGCAGAGCTGCTTAGCAGCAAAACAGCTACAAAAAATGGCATCCTTATTTCAGGTCTACTGAAAGCTGGCAGAGCTTACAGACTGTATTGGCTTATTTTGTTATGAACATATAATGCTCACTGAACCCCATGAGCTGCTGTGATAATAATCTCTGCCAACTCGCTGAATGGATTCCTTTCAGCTCCTGCCTCTGAAGTTATGTGGCTAGAACGGAGCTTCTACAATAAACCAGTACACTGTGAACACCATTTTTTAGCTACAGAAGCCAGATAGCTATCTGAAAAGACTCACGAGCTCAACTGATTATCAGACCATAGGAGAGGAAGGTCATCGTGTCAAAATTCCTGGCTACTGCACTACACTGCGTATACTACTGTATAATCCTCTTATAAACATTTGCCGTTCCACAGGGAAAACATCTCAATTGGTTTAAATTAGTTTTTTATTAATTGATTCACTGTTTATGATTATAAAGTTGTTATGGTACTACAGTCTTAACTGAGCTAGATGACAAGAGAAAAGCGTACAAGTCTTTCATCTGCAGCTAATAAATCTGTGATCCTATGAAGGTTCTGCAGGTCTTTCTTGAATTCCAGTCTCCTCTCTCAGGATTCAGTAAGATGTAGTTTACACAAGAAGTTGTTAGTGTAAAATCTAGCTGCATTTTGAGTAACACAGACATGTGGATAATTTAAAAATAAAAATCCAACTTAATCCTAACAATCTCAGGGTACTATTTGCAAAATCTACCATTAAAGTATGTACAATAATTATTTCCAGTAATTAGTATTAAATGAGCATGACAAGATAAGTTACTAATTTTCTAGACTAACAGCAAGAAGTACTGACATGAGTTTTGCTTTAGAAACCATTACTTATAGTAAAAGGATCATTGCTTATTTCTCTTCACACTTTTTGCCTAATTAAATTGATCTAATTAAGAAATCTAAGTGATTAAAAACAGAAAATATGACTTGTCTTTGGATTTTATTATTGATGAACTTAATGAGACACACTTATTTGTATGCACACCTTCCTTTTCAATTTAGAACTAGATACCATTTTTCCACAATACATATTTTTAACAGCCACCATCCCTGAGCACAGGTTATATGAGTGCATACTGCCATCTAGGCAGGCTTGTGAGAGCAGCATCTATTTTAAAATGAATTGTCTTTGCCAGGGAGAAATACTTCTTTTATCCAAAACGGAGGAAAGAAGAATAATTTTTACACTATTAAAAAAATTACACATCCCCACTCACTGCAAATATAAAACCTACTTCCCAACTAGATTGTAGTAGTCATCACCAAGAGTAAATATTTTTTATTTGTTTATGTTATCTCTGTATTTCCGTATATGTAACTTGAATTTAACCTCCACAGTAAATTAGAAAATGCTTGCATCGATGAAAACCACAAATACGAGATATATAGCGCTGAGGCCATTAAGTAACAAAGCACATTTTACTTTGGCACTAATGTAATTGTGTCTATTTCATATGCTTTGAAATATAATGCCAGTATATTTTAGAAAATTTAATAAAATATCTATTGATTTTCTACAAAGAGAGAAATATTTTTTAAAATAATTTTTCTTCATAGAAATAGTTTCCATCAAGCAGAAAAACTATAAAATACATAATGCATAGAGCTTATTTAAAACAAGAAATTCTACAGACAGCATTTACAGAAGACTTACAGGCAGAAGACATTTACAGAAGATTTGATAATGTCATTTTGATTAGAAACATATCAACAGCTTCATTTTCAGTTGCATTATCGCAAAATTTCTTCCTCCTCCTTTCATTCCAGCTGGATAATGTGGGATTCTGCAGGGAAGGTATGAAATATCAATGTAGAAATTTACACAAAATGGTAATAGAACCTGAAATGATTATAATACACCTTCCACTTGTACGTGTCCCTTGAACATGGCTTTTTGAATTAAGTTCTGCTGGAAGGCAAGCCTCATCCCATCTTACAAACAGCAAACCAAATTACCAGGACTGCTCCAGAGCTGGGACGGCGAGATGAGAGCTGCCTAGTAGCCCTGAAAAGCACACGGCTGTGAGACGCAGGTGTTTGTGCGCCAGCACCTAAAATCAAAAATGTTGCCCCAAAGGCCAAGATTCCTTTGGGTTTCAGTGGAAGTGTTGATAACAACTCCCTAAATCATCAGGATGGATGATGGGGGGACATGGAAGGAAATATCCACTGACACTCAGAGGGAAGTTATCCTCCTGAGCTTCTCCCCGGGTGCTTCTGCCACATCTCAGGAATTGCCCTGAATAGATCTGTTTAGAAAGATATTCTTCTTTCTCCCTGACAGGAGTTCCTTCTGAATAAGAGTAGAAATGTGATTATTTGGCTACTGGCATGTTTTTCCTGCATATAATAATAAGCAACACAGATTTTTAGCACGAAATTCATCTGTACAGAGAGAAAAAACAAGCAAAGAGACTAGAAACTGCTGAATTCACACTTCATTTAGGTGTCGGAAAAATGAGCAGAGTTGGTACCAAACAGGCTTTGAAACTACTATGCTGGAATATCCACTGCCCTTTGAGCAGTCCTGGAATGTAGGACAAGGTAGGAAATTTTCACGGCAAGTATCCTTGGCTTGTCATTTGGAAAAGAAGGACATTATTAAAAACTAAGTAAACATCTCTACTCAGTTCAAAGGCTCTCCATCTGAAAGACTGGAATCCGTTTTGCACTTAGGGATGGTAAGTGTACTTTCTATTAGCACAGGAAAAATAAACATTCAGATTTAACTTTACTATAGCGTCTTTTTGGTAATTTTGTATTTCTATGTCCCCATCAACAGAAAATGGCATGTGCACTGACTCTTCTTCTACCACTGGCATGAATATGGCAGAGTACTGTTCCTTTTTGGTTTTTTTGGACAAGTGCATACATTTTTAACTGTTCAGCAGCAGACACATTCCACGTCTAAAGGAAAAATAATTAAATGAAAATATTGCAGTAGATGTAGCAATGTAGCCTATCATCTACAGCACCTTTTAACACAACAGCAAAATCTCTCGTCTCTTCTCAAGAAACATGGAGTTTTCACTCCCCTTGCAGAGGGTGAAATCAATATCTGGGGCCTATTTTACATGAAGCCACCCAACTGATAAAAGATAGACAACTAATCACACTGGTTAAAGCAGATCTCAGTCAGAAGCTAAATTTGGCCAGACTCACAAGTTGGTCTTGCTGTCTAAGCTTTATTTTATTAAAAATACACGGCCATATTCAAAGGACTTCTTTGGGTTTTCCTGAATCAACAACAAAAACAAGAGACGGCATGTGCATAATTTGTTTTATTGAATAAAATCCTGTTTCTAATATTTACACAGTGAAGTTTAGAGATGTAACCTAGTGAAGCATTGCAAAATGTGTAACGTTCATATTGCATTTGGAATATCTTTAAATACATCTGAAACTATTATAGGAATTACCTGCCCATCACTGATTTCAAAATTAGTGGGGATTTGAAGTTTCTGAAGAATAGTCAAGAGGAATATTAACGATAGCTGATTTTAAAGAAAACAGTCTGTGCTATACAAATTCCAAAACCAAAAGCTCTGAGTAAACGTCAAGAATTTTGAAGAAGGCTTCTGTATTTCCCTGTTGTTCTTCTCATCTCTGCAGAAGAAGATAACAAAATAAATTACAGAGTTTAAGGCTGAAAGTGATAGCCACAACTTAAACACATACCGCCCAGCATGGCAATCTCACTTTTAAAATTTATAATGTAGCATATACATAAGATAATTTTCCTTTCCTCAGGTATAAGTTTAGATTAAACTCACTTCTAACCAGTGGTGAAAGGTAAGTTCTTAAACATAACTGACTTGATGCTTTCTTCCAGTTTGGCTACTTATGCAGATTTGATATAAACACCACCCTTGCCCATTTAACCTCAAAGGCATCTAAACTATAATTTAACAATGCACTTATATAGAAAGAACTATATTAAAAGGCTAAAGCTGCCAAGGCAGACACTCAGAAATTAGAAATGCTGCAACTGTGTCTATTGTCTAGACAACACTAATTAAGACCATTTACACATAAACTTTACGATAAAGTGTCTTCCATCCCACTCTGGTATCTTAAGCAAAGAGGGTTGAGTTTTGTTTTTTTTTTTTTTTTCCAAAACTGCTAGATAGATACTAAGGCAGGGAAGAGGCTCCTTGTAAAACAAACAACTGCAATCAAGACTTTTCCCAATTGTTTTTCTTTTTTTAGGACAATTTCATTATTACTGATCTTGCACGGATTCTCAGCAAGCTTTGAATACAAGACCAAGATCAACAAATAGAGATTTGCAACAATCATCCTAACAGACTCATAGCACTAGTAGGCTGCTCTCTTATATTTTGACTACCCAGTGATTGTGAATAAAACATAATTCACCAGCCGTTTTCATAATTTTTTGCTATTTTTTTGCAGAAAAAAATAAATAAAAATCAAGAACTAGGAATCTTACATTCTGTTCTAGCCTCTGGAAGTTGTTTATTCTAGTGGCTTACAGACAGCCCATTATGAACGGCAGTCAGTTTAGCCTAAGAGATTTGTGATCCTAAGTTGAAAAAACTAGTTGTTAGTCTCAAGTTAACAAGAAATGATATTGCATAGTCTCTCTCATATTTTATTTATCAAATTGGGAGAGGAATTATATTTTTCCTGTTTCTCAAGTTAAAATTTATGAGGCACTGCCTAGCAAGGACTAAAAAGAACAGACAGTTACTAACTTAAGTATCTATTGGGTCCCTTCCTGTTTCCCAGCATAACATATTGATTGAGAAAGGGAGGGCATTCC